GCGGGGAGGACGGGCTCCCCCGAGGCTCCTGCGCCCGGGACCCGCGTCTCGCGCTCCTTCTCACCCCGAGGCTGAGATGTAACTAACTTTTGCGTACACTTTCCTGGGGACCTGAGTTCTGCTACCCCGCGGCGGAGCAGAGAATGACTGACACTTGGAGCGAGGAGGAGGAGGTCCTGGGGATCCGCTTAGTAGGGAAGGATCCTCACTCCGCCGACAGGTCCCGGGCTGCCGCTGGGCCCCCCCCCAGCCTCCCCTGCCGGGGTGAGTCCCGCATCCGTGCTTCGCGCGGCCAGGGCGCAGGGCCAGTGATCGCCAGGAGGGGACGTGGCCTGTCACACACGCCCCGGCCGGGGAGGGCGGGGCCGGAGGTGTCCGCTAGGAGAGGGTGGCGTGGTCGGCGGGCTGGGGAGCAGTTCCCAGCCGTCTGCCTGACAGGAAACGTGCAGACCTCCGGGCCGGCGCTGCTCGCGAGGGTGGGGCTCCGGAGAGGGGGCGGTGCGTGGTCCGGACTCTTGGCATCTCTTTCTGCAGCTGGTAAGGTCATTCATGCCCTACCTTTGGCCCCGGATCCGAGGCTCTGGTTGTCCAAGGCCACGTACAACCCGCCCAAAGCACGGATTTTAGGCTGTGCAACTTTTAGAAGGCACGCTGTTAAAAGAGACTTTCCCCCAGACCCGGAAAGGGACTTGTTCCAGGGAGGGAGGAAACGTGCCGACCTCCTAGAGCCCGCGGACCCAATTTGTTTTACATCGAACGGGAGCCCGGGGTCTAACCTAAGGGCGCCCCTTTCTGGGATTCCCGGGGTGAGCTTCCTCTTCCCCAGCCATCTGGTCGCCTGGGTCACCAGGGCCTCGCGGGTCAGTTTCCCACGCGGCTCTCCAGGTGTCGGTGGAAGAGTAGGTGCGGCCCCGAGGGCACGAGTTTGGGGGAGTCCCTGGTCCTCGGGACCTGACTGGAGCTCCCCGCCCCTTGGCCTGGCGACAGCAGCCGCATCCATAGCCCAGTAACTTGCACGGGTCCCAGGGTGGCCCGTCCGGCTGGTTGCTGGAGGGCGCGGGGGACGCCGGCGGCGGGCGGATGGTGCTGCGGGCCAGGCGGGAGCTGGAGGAATGCGAAGCTCGTGGGGGCTTCAGCCTGCAGAGTTCCCTGCGGCGGCGAGGGCCCAGACTTACGCAGTCATTCCCCTTATTTATGGGCCCATGAGACAGCTCTTTAACTTCCCTTTGGGTGTTTACATACAATTTATTGCCCTGTAAACAGTATTAATCACTGTAGTATTCACCTTCCCTTGGAGCACTTCCGAGAGTGAATGGCAGTTCTTGGCGCTGGGAGGTTTCTTTTACTCGGTATGGAGTCCAGTGGCAACCTCCTCCCCGCTGGGCTTCCCTTCGCAGTAGCTCTAGCGAGGGTTTTGGTCACCAGGGTAAATGAATGAATACTTTCTGCCCAAGGATCAGCGTCACATTTCCATCAAAACTGTACATTGTTGAACATCTTTGTATTCGTACATTGTGTAATTCCCATATTATTTTGAAATTAAAACTTTCCCTTGGAGGCCATCCCCTATCCTTTCACCCCAGGTTGGTTTATTGACTGACACACACTCAAGGCTTCAGGTCCATAGGACAGCCAGACATGTTCCCAGGAAAATGTTGGTGAACCTCGAGTTGAGTCTATTGGTTTCAGTGAGAAGATCTGGCTAACCTTCGTGAACATCCTTATCAGGGCACAGAAACATAGGGCAGTGGTAACAATAAATTACATATAAATAACAATAAATGGTAACAATAACTGTAAAGGGCTTAAAACTTCTAAAGCAACTCCCATTCATTTCTCCTATTTCTGAACTAGCTGTGTGTGGAAGATGGCCTTCCCTCTGTGTCATAGATGTGAAAATGGAGGGCCACCTTAAGGCACATTGTTAGTGATGAAACTTCCATTCTGTCTCCTGACCACCGATTATAAACCACTGCAGCATGTATCGATTTAGAAGAAGGTATCTTTTTTTGCCATGTTACTCAACACGGAGTCCCCTGCCATTCATGGCATCAAGTGGAAGTTGGTGGCTAGACCTGTTTCTTCCTTCTTTCCATTCTTCCCTTGTCCTTGATCTATCCCCCTTTCTTCTGTATCTTTGTAGTATGTATGGGATTTTGATGATCAAGCAGGGAAAATTTGAGAAATTATCTTAAGGAGAGTGGCAAAATAAAAAGTTACAATCAGCAAATATTTATGTGAAAAGGAATTGAAGTCCTGTGTAAAGAGTGCACTTTTTTATGGAGTAGGATAGATCTTCGGGAAGCTTTGAAGTGAAGACCTTTGGCTAAGACCAGTTATATGGAGAGCATTAGAAATATTTCTCAAAGGGAATAGTTAACTTTCCGGTTAAGAGAATTTTGTTGGGCAAACTTGATTTTCTGTAATAAAATTTTATATGCATTCCTCTGAACAAAGTTTTTGGTTTTTGAATATAATAAAATGCACTTAGGAATTCAGCAAATCTTTATAGGCATGTACCCCCAAAAGGAAATGTAGCCACGTAATAATACCTAAAGCCTTAACAGTAGTAGAGCAATATAAAAAAATGTAAAACTCTTTTATACTCATAAATTTTGACAGACTGATGACCCACAATCCACATTTTCCTCACTACTGGAGAGTACAATGTTCCTACAACTTTAGGAATCTAACACAGTTTTCATCTGCTTCAGCTCTTTAACACAAAACTTTTTTCTAAGGTAATTTTGATATCTTTATTATTATAACACACCCTTTTTCTGACTGATAAGGATAAAAATATAACAATTATTACATATTACATATTTATATTATTATGAAATAACATGATGTCTCCTTGAATATTACATATCACAAAAATCTTCTCTCTATATAAAAGCCTAAGTGGCCCTTATGACTGGTCGACAGAACGACCTGTCTACTGGTCGCTATGATGCGCACTGACCACCAGGGGGCAAATGTTCAACGCAGGAGCTGCCCCCTGGTGATCATTGCGCTCCCACAGCCAACCTCCCCTGGTCCCTTCCCCCGGCCGGTCAGTCCCGATGAGCCCTTATTGGGACTGGGCAAGATACCCCGATCGGCCCCGATTGCCACCCAGGTCGAGGGACCCCACTCGTGCATGAATTTGTGCACCGGGACTCTAGTAATATATAAAATAATAGTATATAACATACAAAATGAAATATATTATAAAATAACAATACCATATGATGCATCCTTGAGTTAAAGAATTGAGGTGTCTAATCCTAGCTAGCAGTAAACTCTGGTTCTGATAGATGTTGTAATACTAGTATGTGAATTATCATCCATTTTTCACAGATTTAATATTTGGAAGTGTTGCCTGTTATATTCCTAATGAAATGATTAATTTATTTAATTTGCATTTGGGGTCTCCTTAAGGGACTCTTCGGATAGAGCCAAGTGGCTGATTGAATTCTGAATCTATCTGGGTGTTGGGGGGCAGTGTGTTCCAGAAGGTATTAGGGCAATGTACTCGTCTAATATTCTTAAGGAAAAGGTGGCATTGTAGGACAGAATCTTTAGTTCTTTAAATTCTAAAGATGCTCATGACTAATTAATTACTAAAAATTAAAATTATTTCTATTGAGTGATAGCTGTACCCAGCAGAATTAATATGATGTACCTTCTCAAATGACATAGCATACAACAATTCAGATTTATATCTAATTGAAAGCATTCCTGAGATCAGACCTGAATACCCAACTGCTTTTTGTTATTTCCACATATAAACATCAGAGGCACCTCAAGCTCAGCAAATCCAAGCTACTTTCATTATTTCTTCCTGCAGAGGCTTATCTTCCAGAACTCCCCAGCTCAGTGAATGACGCGCCCTCTACTCAATTGCGCAAGCCAAACTGGGCAGTCATTTTGTCCCTTCGTATCCTGAGCCTCTCATACCCAACCAGTTCCCAAATCCTATGCACCTTCTTTATTTAGTATTTAAACATCCCACATATCCACCCGTTTTCTTTCCATCTTCCCTGGTTTAGGCCACAGTCATTTTCTGTCTGTAATATTACACTAGAAAGAATATAAGACTAAACATTCATGTATTCTTTAACTACATTCCCCACTTGTCACTTTCCAATATTTCATATGTCTCTGTGTATTCATGTGTATACTAGTATTTGTGTACATTTATACATAGACCTATAGATAGACATGTACAGACAGATATATGCTGTCCTTCTTGAATTTAAGTTGAAGATATTATCATACTTCATTGCAAACTATTTCATCATGTGTCTTCTACAATCAGACATTTCCTTGCATAAGGACACAACCATTAACCGATATTAAAGAAGTTTAACACTGATACAATAATATTGTCTAATACTGCGGTTCTCAACCTGAGGGTCGCGACCCCTTTGGGGGTCGAACGACCCTTTCACAGGGGTTGCCTAAGACCATCGGAAAACACATATTGAATATATAATTACATATTGTTTTTGTGATTAATCATTATGCTTTAATTATGTTCAATTTGTAACAATGAAAATACACCCTGCCTATCAGATATTTACATTACGATTCATAACAGTAGCAAAATTACAGTTATGAAGTAGCAAGGAAAATAATTTTATGGTTGGGGGTCACCACAACATGAGGAACTGTATTAAAGGATCGCGGCATTAGGAAGGTTGAGAACCACTGGTCTAATATTCAGCCCAAATTCAGACATTTCCAAATTATCCCAAATTGTGTATTTTGAAAAATTCTGAATTCAGTCAAGGATGACCTAATTGAATTCTTCTCATGTTTTGAAAACTTGGCTCAAATGTCACTTCTTCAAGGAAGGCTTTTCTAATTGCCCAGGGCGGTTAGATTCCTCTGCTCTATGATGATGTTACTCTGTGCTTCTCCTTTGTATGTTTGTAGCATATCAGAAGAATTCATTATATAATTAATTGCTTAGTATCTATAAACTTCATGATGGCAGAGGCTGTGTCTCTTTGATAGCCATATCCCCATTCCCAGATCAGTGCCTTATACATAGCAGGCACTGAATAAATATTTCCCGAATAAATGGTGATGATATATAACTGTATATGACTATATGTATTACATGTGTATATACCTATTTTTTTTTTCAAGTCCCTACTTTCCCTTTTCTCTTTAGGTATTGATGTCTTAAAAAAAAAAAAAAAAAAAGAGAGGATTTAGTAAAGTGTTTGGATTTTACTGAAACTCAGCAAAGATGGCCAAGTATGGAGAACATGAGGCCAGGCCTGATGACGGACAGAACGAGTTCAGCGACATCATTAAGTCCCGATCTGGTAAGTAATGGGAGCCTAAGAAAATGCCAGGTTTATATGCATAAACTACTTAGAAGACATAGGGTGTTTTTTTTTAAATTTTTTTTTTTGCCTTGTGTTGCACTGTTCTTGTGAGACAAATTTCTTTTGAGAAATATAATTCTGACAAAGGAGTATTATATTATAAAAGGTAACATAGTGTCTCTGACTGTCCTATTTGAATTTCTCAACCCAGTTTGATCTCATCCTGTGCTGACTGGCATTGTTTAGTGACACTGGGACCAGTAGTTGAATGCTGTGCTTCTATCAGACTCACTCCTTTTAACACAAAAATATAGCTGAGCATGTTTTCCCCTTTCAGCCTATGGTATGAAGTTGAAAGGATGATATATGCTTAAAGTAGGAGGTGCATTGTTTCTGGCAGGATGGATCTTCTGTAGTTTTGCTTCGATCACATATGTCCTTACCCCGATTCCTTTCAGTGGCCAGGGCTAGGCCTACAGGTTTCTTACCTCTGCTTCCATCTTTGAAACTTCTTATGAACCTTCTCAAGGTACACTTTTCACCTAGGTAATCTAATAAACCGGACAAAGACAGATTAATGGTTTTCATCTGAACATTTAAATTGGGGACCTACGATACCACTCCCCCCTCCAGTCTTTTTATGTAACCAAGTGCTTTTCTGCTGTTCAAATGAATCAACTGGGAAGGCTTTTTTTTTTTTTTTTTTTTTTTAATGCAGATGCACTGGCTCCTCTCCATACCTATTGAATAATAAATTCTATATTTTAAAAAGGCTTCAAATATGATTTTGAGACAGGCTCAAGGGGAGATATTTTTGAGTAGGCTCAGCTTGTTTGAGCTTTGAAAATTACACAGAACTCTACCCTGGGTGTGAACATTATACTTAAGTAACTTTAAGAGTTAGTCTCAGGTATAAAATTACAACCACTGTCACTTTAAGATAAAAAAAGGAATATACAGCCTGTTTTGCTCCATGTATCATGTTTATATTATATTAGGAGCTTATTTCTCAGTACATGAAACTGCAGAAATATGCACTGAAAATCAGCTCTAAATTAATAGACATACACACTTAAGATACACATTTCTTTCTGTGGTACTGGAACTGGTTGATTGGTAAAGATTTTGGTTATAACAGTCCTGGCTCTAAATTTGTAGCTACTATTGTGGAGCTTGAAGGATCTCTAGGTACATTAAAGCTTACTATCCTGTTTTAAACATCGGAGGGTATTTTTTTCTCAAAAATTCTTTTTGTTTTAAATATTTTAGTAATATAAAATATTATGTAGATATAAGGGATTATTAGTATTTTCTTAAGAATATATATCCAGACTATGTACATGTAACACAGAGGAAAGTGAAAGTGAGACAATTTAACATATCCATGCTGGTCATGTTCTATAAATTGTGAGGAGATATATTCTTAAATAGTTGTCTGAGTCAACCTCTATTACAGTAAGACCTTTGATATTTATAACTATGTGCTTTAACCATGCCCATAAAAAGTAATTGAATAAGTTTCGAAATGCTAAGCATATATGATGAGTACACATAGCTTCCAAATTGTTTTTTAAATTAAAAATTACCATTTAGAAAGACTTACAATTCTCATACACTGTTGGGGGACAGTTGGGCAGAAATCATCACATGTTTTTAACATGTGTATACCAATTAGCCTATTAACTCTATTTTTAGAGTTATTTCCTAAAACACACAGAAGTGCACAAGAAAGAAGTTGATCACAACATTTTTTATAAAAGGAAAAAAATTGGAAACACCATAAAAATACAGTATTGAGGACTGGTTAAGTCATAATTTCCCAAAGTATTTTGAAAAGAGCATACGTTCTAATTAAAAAAGGATGCCATAGACAAATAATTTTAGGAAATAGTGGTCAGCCTTCTCTGTTCATTTAGTGTAGGTATGGCCTCTGAACTGATTGTAGACATTAACTCAGTGGAGTTAATTATATTAGGTATATTCATAAAGCAGAAGAATATACATTCATAATATGTTACTGATATGTATATATCTATCTATATGCATAGAAATGTGTTCTTGACTTTGTCAAGTAAAAATATATGCAATATGAATTCAGTTAGGTGAAAATTATTTTTTAAAACAATTTAGCAGATTATACACTACAATGTTAATAGTGTTAACCTTGGCATTTTGGGATTATTATTTTTCTCTCTTTGCTCGTATGTATTTTCTAAAGTTCTTCAATGAGCCTGTATTACTTAGTTCTTATTTTTAAAGGCTCTCAAATTGCTTAGAATGTTTCAATGCCAAGGCTCTGACTGTTACATTTTTTTTTTGCTTGGTGGCACCTACTTCAAAACACATTGAAAAGTTAGCTGTTGCATAGCTGAGATATGAATCACATTCTTTTGGCTGTATTATGTTGCAAGAGCCAGTAGATAAATTTGGATTTGAATGGGCCTGTTAGTCCCAATCCTGCTTTCTGAAAGGCACGGTTTTGATTCTTTTAAGGTAAATATTAGCATACAGTGATAATGTCTTTTGGTATACCAAAATATACATATTGAATAGGTATTTTTAGTTTAGATTCATTCAAAGGAATCATCCACATATAATGCATTTGTTTTTTTAAAGATCCTTCTTGGACACGTTCTATGCTTAAGTTGTTGCTTTCTCATTGTTTTAAAGGGATGTTTTCCGATGGAAGAATTTTAAATCTAATCTGCTTCTCTAGATTTCTTCCTTTTGGAGATTGGATATGGGGGAGGGAGAAAAGATTAAGGTGGGAAAAACTAAAGTTGAGAGTAAATTGATTAATTTAATCTCTTGGTTTATCAAGATTCTTCCATTCTCACTCCTTCCCAAATACTTGAATTTGGAAAGCTAAAAGCCTCATGTAACAAAAATATTTGTGCATTTTACATCAAGTTATTGGGATTATTTATATTGCCCTCATTCATTATTATTTGGCTTTAAGATGTGTATGAGGTTTTAACATTTTTTATGTTATTTCCACCTTCTAAACAGACGTATGAAATTATCAAGGGTAGATGATGAAAATGTGTATACCATTTAGCCCATTAATTCTATATGGGGGATATATGACCCCATATATTTCTGTATGGTTGTACCACATTTACCTTCGATTTGAATGAACGTTAGAAAAGAACTTGAAATAATATGACCTTTAATTATTAAGAACTTCAGGTGGGGTAAACGGAGACCTTTCTTTTCCTAACTTAAACACACCTATGTCATTTGTCATCAGTCACTGCATCTTTCACAGCCTGAATTAGTGGGCTTCAGAAAGCTTACCAAATTAGTAAATATTGTGAGAGAGTAGGCCAAGATATAGAGTTGTTTCTTTTTAGTGGAAACATATAGCCAATGGAGTCTGTGATGTGTACATTTCTGTTTGGAACGTTTTAAACATGAAATAATACAATGGTTTGGGATGCATGTCAGGTCAAAGAATATGCTCATTGCTACTTCATCCTATCAATAGCTAACGCATGTTAAAGCTGGTAATAGAGAACAAGGCATCCTTTTCTGATGTTCTCAGTTCTGTTGTGGTTAAGTTTTAACTGAGAGCCCCCTAACCAGGGTAGCGCTCAGGGCTAAAGAGAGTGTGTCAGCTGGCTACCTGTGGGGATTTTGACAAGCTGGGGATTCGAATCATAGCCGCTCAGATGGGAAGGGGCCATTTACTGAATGAGTTAGTCAGGTAAGCGCCACATTGTTGCATGATTCCATGTGTTCTTTACGTACCTGGGGTAGGAAGCCTGCGTATCACAATTTTACCCTTTCTTCTTCCACCTTTTGGGATCTAATTGCTGAGGACCTAATTGCTGAGAGAATTTTAGAGGCCGTATAACTCAGCCATGCCTGCACGGTGGTTACCCAGCCTCTGCTTGCACACTTCCAGTGATGGTATCACATTGGTGATGGTGAGGAGGATGATAATCCCAGCAATTTACATTTATTGAACACAGACTGTGTGCAGATGTGGTGTCAAGAGTTTCATTCTCACAACTACTGTTTTACAGACGACAAATGTGAGCCACACAGAAGTAATTGACCGTACTGGCCTTCCTTCTAGTTCTCCAAAGGCCCAGTTGTGCCATCTCAGGGCCTTTGCACATCCCTTTTACACCTGTCTTTGTCTGATGGGCTCCTTGCTGTCATTTAGATTTAGATGTAAATGCCATGTTTGAGAGATCTTTCCTAGGACCTAGATAGATCTTTAGAAAGTATGTCTCCCTTGCCCAGCTAGAACGGCTCAGTTGGTTGAGTGTCGCTCTGTGCACTGAATGGCTGCTGGTTCAATTCCTGGTCAGGGCACATACTTGGGTTGAGGGTTTGATCCCCAGTCAGGGAATGTAAGGAAGGCAGTCGATCCATATTTCTCTCTCACATTGATGTTTCTCTCTCTCTCTCTCACTCTTTCTAAAGCATGTCCTCTGGTGAGGATTAAAAAGGAAAAGAAAGTAGCTTTCCTGGTCACTCTTGACTGCATCAGTATATTTAAATTTTCTCTATATTCTTATCTCTACCTGCCACTCTTCTTGTTTTGTGTATTTATTAATGTACCTCCCACTAGAATTTAATTCCAAAGGTACAGAGACCAAACTGCTAGCTCATAGTAGGTGAGCAATGAATGTTTATTCAATGAAAAAAGCCTTACAAAGCTAGGAAGTGCCAGATCTGGGGTTAGAGCTCAGGAGATCTGACTCCGGAAACCCTGCATTTGACCTCCACATAGTGCTGAGTCTTCTAGTTTACAAGGTCATTTATTTTGTTGCTTGTGGAATTCTTCTTCATTGGGAGCCTGAATCTATTGCTTACAACGTTCTCACAGTATGAGCTGGATTTATACGTGCCTCTTCCTCTTCCTTTATGGTGACCAAAGCTGGGACTCCAGGCTGTGAGGGAGAGCCTTCCTGGGCCCCCAGTTGTCATCGTAGTGCTGCCAAGGGAGGGCCAAATTGTAGGAGATACGTCCTGCTGCTCCCAAA